TTTCAATGGAGATCAACAGATCAGACGGCAGACACCGAAATCGTGTATGCAGCGGCTGTGCAGTGCCGTCGACAATGGAATCAAATGTCGCAGAAGCTGCCTTCAGGATGATGTAATCCTCGGCTCGGCACATCAGTATTTTGACTGAAGTGTTTTGAAAACTATTAAAGTTGAAACTATTACTGTTAACCATCGACTGGCTTTCCTTCAAAGACCAGGAAATGCCGAGGCGGATTTGAAAGAGGATCGGTCGGCGTGTCTTTGCTGGTTATTATGATGCTGCAAAATTGAAATGTGTACAATCGGCCGATTGTCAAATAGGAAAATTAAATGTTTAGTTTAAACGTACAAGCTGGATGCCAACTGTTGATCTAGAGCCTTGACTGACGTGTCGCCTCCATATTCGTTGATTAAGAACGCGACTTTGTCGTGGCTGACGTCTCGGAACAAAGCGCCACCTTCTTGGCCCATAAACACGTGCTTGAAGGGAACCTAAATCGAATTATGAATGGTTTGGGGAGCGATTTGCTAAGGTACGGTGATCGTGTGTTTAGAAGTAAAGGTAGAGTCCATCTGGTCAACCGCAGTATCATCAGCAGACGGCGTCGAAAGTGGAGGCAAGATCAGCTAGAAAAAAAAGGTAAATGTGAAAAAAAAAAGGAGATAAAAATTCACAGTCGTTGGCGAAATCTAATCGACCGATTGTCGTAAATAAAAGTTTACTTTGGCTGAGTCGTCGATGGCAGGGTCAGCGACGGTTTGTGACGGCTGTTCAGACGGCTTCGTCGCACCGCCCGTAGAGGAAATCGACGTTTGCCTGGCCTAAAAAACAAAATTGATGAGTTTGATAAGGGTTGGGTGTTTTTACAATCGGCCGATTGTATAAAAAAGTAATGTGATATTCAAAGTGTTGCATAACACATACATTCTCGTGTCGAGTGACACTGTCTTGGTCATTGACAGTTTGTGACGGCTGTTCAGACGGCTTCGTCGCACCGCCCGTAGAGGAAATCGACGTATTACTGGCCTGAAACAAAATTGATGAGTTAATTTTTTACAAGCGACCGATCGCATAAAAACTGCAACACATACTTTCTTGTGTTGATTGATATTGTCGTCATCGCCGTACTTGCTGTTTCTTTTTCTGATTCGCTTTTCCTTCATATCTTCCACCTGTGTCGTCTGGGCTTTTTGTAGCGGCTAAATATTGAAGTGAACGATGAAACTGAATATATATATA